AAAGCAAAAAGTCAGTCAATAATTCAAATTAGTAAACATTTTTACTAATTTAAATTTAGAAAGAACTAATTTTTTTATATTAATTATAAAATGAAAATAAAATTCATTCAAATTTTTAGAAAGTAAAGTTTGAATTAAAATTTATTAACAAATTTACAAAATAGGGTGAAATAGTTGTCAATATTTTTAAAAAAGTAAAAAGGAAACTATATCTGTGGTCCCAAAAAATATTTTACATTCAAAAAGTTATAAACCATTCTATAAACATTATATATAACAAAAAGTATAAAAATATTTATCTTTCAGTAGTCTCCCTTTGGAATTTTTTTAGTATTCTCAAGGGAAAAGGCAGTACCTATAACTGCTGAACATCATTTGAATTCTAATTTCCATTTTTTTCACGAATAGTAAATATTCGCTCGCTTATTATTCGTTTACAATATAAAGTTGTATCAATAGAATACTAAAGTCATTTAAAAGTGGGAAAATTTCTAAATTTGTTTTTTAGAAATTCATTTTAAAAAATAAACGTTTATAATTTTAAGGAGACGTTCCCCGCTATGATGAGTTTTAAAGAATTTTTTCAAATAATGAATTTTTATATTATTCAAATGATTATTGTAATTTTTTTATAAAAAATATTTTATATTATAAATACTAGCTTTTCTGTATAAAAAAATGAAATAACTTTTTTTGATATAAAAAATATATAAAATTATAAATTTTTATATAATTCAAATAATAAGTTTTGCAAAAAAAAAAATTGATAGTTGAAGTTATGCAAAAAAAAGGGAATATTTATAATAATTGGTACTGAAGCCATCAATCAACCAACCATCTTTATTGATTTCTTTTACCTACAAACTTAACAAAAGAATTATCTAATTCTAAAGAAAAATATATATGTCACGTTTACAAATACCATTCGAATCATTAAAATGCACTTTAATTGTCATTAGATCGACAATTAAAATGAATAATAAATATCCACAATGTTATGTATTGCATTCCACAAAGAATATTTTATTATTTCGAAAAACCTATTCATTTGCATCTTTAATTTTACCATAATAGTAACAACCGTTTACTTTTGTTAATATTATTTATGGACATTTACAGAAAAAGGATTAAATTTATTGCTGTTAATTTCAGCAGCCATAGTCAATTTTTTAAAAATTATTTATAATCAAAGTGACAGACGATTTTTGTTTTTAATCAATTAACTGATTTTCCAAAATAAATAACTAATTGGTAACTTATCAATAAATAATTAGTTAATAATAATTACTCTCTCAATGTGAATTGGAAAAAATATATTTACTAATTTGAATAAGTGACTTTTAAATTAGTAAATTCTACTAATAAAAAGTTATTTCTACTAATTTATGAATTAATTTATAAATTAATAATTAATATTTATTAATTGATTATTTATTTGTTACTTAATTATTTCTACTAATTTAAAAGCAAAAAGTCAGTCACTAATTAAAACTATGTAAACGTTTTTTACTAATTCAAATTTAAAGAGTATAAGTAAATAATTAAGTAACAATTAAAGATTGAATTGATAAATATTAATTATTAATATTAATAAATATTAAATAATGATTAATAAATGTTAATTAATAATTTATAAACAATCAATAGATGAACAATTAATTATTAATGTCCTAGAAGTTAGAGTCGATCCTTAGGGTAGAAAATTATTTTAACTTTTAACTCTAATTTAGATGATAATTCAGCAATGAGTTAAAACTATTCATTTTAATATATTAATCATCGTCAATGTAATGTAAATATAAATTTTTAATATAATCAACACTAAATTAATAATAATAATAATCAATAAATGTTAAGAAATTATACAAGTATTATTGTACATGAACAAAAGAATTACCCAACAAATAACATAATTATTGCTATGAAATAATTATTCAACTTAATAAAATGTTAAAGATGCACAGCAAAAATTACCAGGAAGTTACTGTTTTTTCACCGTAAGCTTACATGTTTTTTTTCGTATTCGATTGCATCAGCACTTTTGTAAAAAAAAAGAAATGTCCACTATCAGCAAATTAGTGTTTCTGTTAAATTTTATCATTTCTTAAAATTTATCGTTACTCATCGCCGCAGGAATGTTGCGTATTATTATACAAAAATATTATATTCAACTTAGACGAAGCACAACTTCCTTAAGTTTCTTTATTTTCAAAATGAATTGCAATGACAATTGTATTATTTCTGTAGTATTTTTGAACATATTCTTTGTAATCTCTAAATCTGAATTATAGTAAAAATCAAACCATTAATTAACATTAGTAAAAATCACTGATTTTCAAGTAAAATTTTATTATTTTCTTTGAAAGTTCAATTATAAAAAAAATAACTATTGAAAGCAAAAATTTAATTTAAAACTTTAAGAGTATTTTTTTTTATTTATTTTTATTTTTTTATTTATTTATTTATTTAAATTCAGTAAAATTCTTAAAAAATTCAATTAGGTACTTTTAATCAATTTCTTGAAAATTTCAATAATTTTAAAAATGTTTAATCACCTGTTTATAAAAATTTAATAATCTTTAATAAAAAATAGAACAGTAATATTTTTTAAATAAGTTTCTTTAAACTATATATTTCGCAGTTCTACTTTTCAAGATTATTTATAATTTTATAAAATTTTAAAGAAAGTTTTTGATAAATAACTATCTTCCATTCAAAAATAACTCAATATAAACCTTTTTAAATTTAACTAATTAATAAAACTATTAATTGTAACTCTTAGTTATAATTCTTAATGGTAAAGTAATCTTAAGTTACTCTTAATTGCAACTCTTTAAAAAATACATTATTTTACATTAAATTCGGACACTTTAATGCTAAAGATGAATACATTCGCTTCTGACTTTTTGTAAAATTCAATTATTTATCAATTATTAAATTAAAATTCTTTGAAAATTCAATTATTTCAAATCTTTAATAAAATTCTTTAATAAAACTTTTTTTTTAAAAAGTAGATAACTTAAAAAATTATAATAAATTTCTCAGAAACTTAATTTTTTATGAATTGTAGATAAAATTATTTAAAAGTTAAATAATTTTTTAAATAACTATTTTACTATTATTAATTTATTCATACAGCAATTAAAATTTTTAAAATTAAAGTATTATTTTAAAGTTCACAGTGATTCAAAAATTTTTAAAGTAACAAAAATTCTAGGCTAATTTTATGCTTTTAAGTTTTTCAAAAATGTTTTTGGATACCAAAAAACAGAATCTTTGTAGTAATTCAGTTTTCTTGAAAGTTCAAATTGATACTAAAGTGTTTCAATTTGATACAAAAATTTAGATTAATTTTTTACTTGATCCATATTTTGGTATTATATTGATGCACCTTAGTATAAATTTGATACTTTCTAGAAAACTGTGGCATGGTATTTGCAAAGTGTTTGATAATTTTTTAATTAATTGTTTTAAATTTTAATAAAACCCAAATGATGTTCCTTAAAAGTATTCTTTAATATTACCCTTATATAGCAACAATATTTTACTAATCTTGTTTATATTTTTGAAAACTTTTTACTACAAAAAGAATTATTTGATTCAAATAAATTATTATTACTTGTCTATTATCAAATAAAAATTTATTTGCATCAAATAATTTTTATTTTAGGGTCAACTAAACGGTACCTATTTGCTTTAATTACTGAAATTATTAGTTCAAATAATGTGATATTATGATGTTTGATATTTATTTGATCTAAACATAATTTTTTGATTCGAGTACTTAAACATTGATAACCATTTTGAAAAATTCCTTTAAGGGCTTATTTTAATCCTTGATGGATTACTATTTGCATTTATTTTAACTTTTTAATAATAAAAATAATAATTTTAACTATTTTAATAATCTGCAACGCGAAGGTTATTTTAATCCATTTTGGCGATAAAATAATACCCCACAATTTTCTGTGTACAGATTGATAATGAAAAAAAAAATTGTCATAATGTTGATATCATCTGATATAAAATTTAATCTGATCAATAAAGTAGAAATTAGCAGAGATTTCTGTTGAATTTGAACGAAATTTCAATGAATTTTTAATATTCGACTGTATAAGCATTTTTGTTGTCACAAACGAACATTTAAACAATATCAAAATTTTCTGCTACGATTTATGATCCACGAGTTTTGAACATTTAAAAGTCTAAGGAAATTGTTTACACTTTATACAGTTTTCTTGAGACTATCAAATTAATACCAAAGTGGATCAAATTGATACAAAAATTTTGGATCAATTTATGATTTAATCCATGTTTTTGGTATCAATTCGTTGCAATTTGATACTTTTAAGTTAACAGTGTTGCTATTAAAAAATATTTATAAAAAATTCGGTCTGTTATAAAAAGCAGAAACAAAATTGAACATTTAGAATCTCTGTAGTTTATTTTTTAATACGTGTATTATTGCAATAACATTTTAATTTGAAAAATAAATAAATAAAGTATATTTCAAAGTTCAGAACTTTAGGGACATTAAACGATTTTCTGTTTTTGCTGATGACAACAAATCACATTATTAGCAATAATTTCATAAAGTCAGTCAGTTTAGAAAATAATAATGTAGATCAATAATAATAATTCCAAATAAGAATTTGGAACAAACGTTTTTAATTTTAATAAAAAAAAAACTCGAAAAATACTAAGACTATACCAGAGGCAAGTAAATAAATTTACTCCAAAAGGAGAACATGATAAAATTGTTTCCATCAAAACTAGTTTAAAATTTTTGCCATCGTTTCTAGAAATTGCCATGTTTCTTTCAAGTACACCTGCTAATTTAACATCACAAGAATCGAGTACTAAAAGTTTAAAGAAACTATCACGCGATTTCGCAATAACAAAACAAGAAGCATGGACTATCATCATAATCATCATCACTCGTCAACGTGCAGCAGCAGCAGCAAAAAGATGTTATGGAAAAATTAATTATTTCCACTTACCAATAAAATAAATGCAGATCACTAAACAGTCTCGTTTCCTAAATATTGTAAACCAAAAATTTCAATCTTTGACAAAAAGAAAAAAAACTTGGTAGAAACACTAAAATCCAGGTAAAGGCACAGGTAACAAACAGCCTTTGCTTTAAGGCTTTATAATTCATTGAATGAGTCACATGAGGTGTTTTTCTAATTTCTTTCCCCACCAAACAGAAAAAAATCACACGTAACACGAAATTCACTTTATTGAAAAATATTTCCTATTTTGATAATATTGAGAAGGAACAATAAGAGTCACTGACAACACTCGTGGCAAGACGCGTTAAGAATGACGCCCGGCTCATCATTACAACACATTGACAAGTCGATAATATTGTTACATTCGATATGATAATGCACATTGTCAAAATTATAAAACGATCCACGTGGTGGGCAATTGATGAGGAAATATTTTTGTTGAAAGTTAGTGACTTTTGTTTTCGCATATGGCGAGAGGACGCGGAATGTCGCTCCGCCGTGTAGACCGCCGCAGACTGCGGCCGCCTGGACAACTGCCGCCCACCCAGCCGGCTACGGACACAACTTGCCTGCCTCGAGAATCTAACGTTGTTAAAGGTACTAAAGTTCGCTACAAGTGCGAGTGGGATACAATGTGCCAGTGGCAGGTGCACGAGAAAGAGAGAGAGAGAGAGAGAGAGAGAGAGAGTCTCGGGAGGAATTTGTGTGTGAGAGAGGTCGAGCAACCCGTGAGGCGTGAATGCACGACGGGATAAACACGCTTAGGCGCTAATCAAATTCTTCTATTTTACATTTTTTTTTTAAATTAACCCATTAACGCCTGAATACACTGAATTTTTATTCTGACTTCAAACTTAAATATTTTTTAATAAACATACTATTTTCTCTTCGGAAAACATTTTTTTTTATGTATCAGCAGTTTCAAGTGAATCCGACCGATTTTTAAAAATTGACCGTCATATTGGATCCGCCATTTTTAATTTTGGAAAATTAATATCAAATTCGTAATCAGCGACCCCGAAAAACCCCCAAGTAAATAGTTTCAAGTGAATCTAACAGATTTTTGAAAATGTCCGCCATATTGGATCCGCCATTTTAAATTTTGAAAAACTAACATCAGATTCGTATTCAGAGACCCGGAAAACCCTCGAGTAAGCATTTTCAAGGCAGATTTCTGAAAAAAATGTACATCGAACAATAAATTTAAAATTTTCATAAATTTTTCCCTTTCTAGGCGCCATTTTGAACAATTAAAAGTTTATATTCAAAAGGTCGACATATATTTTGAAAGTCTAACAATCGAGTGCACAATTTATGGAAATATTAGCTGTTAAAAAATTTTTTTTGACAAAGAAATTTTAATAAAAAGTCTTTAAAAAATCGTGCAATTTTTAAATTATATACAAACAAATGTTAAACAATTTTTGAATAATTTTTTAACATCATATTCGGGTAGAGAACACTCTAATACATAAAAAAAATTTCCGAAGAGATAACAGTATGTTTATTAAAAAAATATTTAATTTTTAAGTACACGGATATTTTTAACTATATCAAGAAAATAATTTAAATACTCCATAGAATTGTTTTTATAGTAATTTTTTGAGAGGAATTCAAAGGGCATAAAATAAAATCGGTCAGAAAAAATTGTGACCCTTTTCGATTTTTTTTTTTTTTTTAAATTGGTGGATTTTGAAATCCATGCGTAATTTTCAGACTAAAAAAAAAAGATTTTGTTTTTAAAAATGCTTCAAAAATTATGAAAATCAATTTTTTCATTTTGTAATTTTATTATGGATTCAAAAAAACATATTTTCTCCAAAATTATACGCATGGATTTCAAAATCCACCAATTTTTAAGAAAAATAAAAATTACAAAAGGGTTAAAATATTTTCTAACTGACTTTATTTTATGACCATTGAATTCCTCACAAAAAATTACTTTAAAAATATTTTTGTCGAATATTTAAATTATTTTCTTGATATATAGTTAAAAATATATCGGTATACCCACCCCTTATGAAACTTTTTTAACCTTCGGAGAACACACCTCTTTTTTAGATCATTTTTCAAAGCTCAACCAATTTTAAACTGTTCATCTAATCAACCTAAGGATTTTTTAAAAATATAGTTTAAACTCTGTAAAATAAGTCTGTATAATTTAAAATCCTTACAAAAAATATTAAACAATAGATAAAAAGCTTTTCGTAAAAAAACGTGGGGTCAGAACGACCCCATGTGTTCTCCGAGGGTTAACATTTTTTTCAAACTTCCAACTGGTACTAAAGATGAAGCTTCAAAATACTCGTCGGACATTTTTTCAACCCATTCACTGCAAAAACAAACTTACAGTTACAAAAAACCTGAATAAATTTATTTTGTTGCGCTTCACTTTGAGATCGGTATCAAAATGAATAAACTGATAACTTTAGGTTTTTCGAAATAATCCTGACCAGTTTGACCGGACACAAAATGTCAGGTTATATGCTGTATACTAAAAATTATTCTCAACATTATTACTCCAAATATAATTATAATTATTGGAGTATCTTTATCAAATTATAATTAATCTTAACTTTTATTGCACATTAAATGTTTAAAATTAATGTTTCAAAAAAATGTATATTACTTTCACACCTTTTAAATTTGGCGCCATGATTTTCAGGTTTGTGATGGTCATTAATTTTTTATTTTCACAAATGTTTGATTAAAAGTCAATTTTAAATTAGGCGCCATGATTTTTAGGTTTGTAGACGCAGTAGCGACAAGTTAATATGATGAACAAGTGTTTGGCTACCTGCATTGCAAGAGGCCATATAACCAAAAAAAAAAAAAAATATGCTGAACAAATTTTAAAAATTATCTTGGAATTTTACGTAACTTGGTATCTAGGGTTGAGTAAGAGGAAATTTTGAAAAATTAGATTTCACTATTTTCTTATAAATATTTTGCCTATTGTTTATATTTAAATAATAATTATAATAATTAATTTAATTAACATTATATTAATAATTATAATCGTACTATGTAATTTTTTTTTTTTTTACAGATGGTAGTAGTGTTCGTGATTAAAACAAGCTAAATTAATTGTTAATTGGTTCAAATTTATAAGAATTATGTCAAATTTTTTAAATCAAATTTTTTATATGTACCAGAGGTACAAAAAGGTTAAAAATCTGACTTCAGATTCAAAATCACTCTAAATTTGAATCAGTTAAAAATAACTGATTTAGAAGCAAAAAGTCAATCACTCATTCAAATAGTAATATTTTTGCCTGATTCAATTAGTTAAGTTTAACTATTTTTTCAGTTACTTTTCACTAAAAATCAGTTATTTTTAATTGATTCAGAAGGAAAAAGTAGTAATGTTAATAGTCAATCACTATAATTGTCAGTTAAAACCATGATTTTTAACTGATTCAAATTAAGAGAGCAGTGAGTGAGTGACTCCAAAAACCCCGAAAATAATGAGTTTTAACTAAATCCTACTAATTTTAAAATACTTTGTTTATTACATAAAATCTTACATGTTTTTTGAGGTTAGAAAATATGCTGACGCGATGGAACAAATCTATATTTATGTATATTTCTATATATATATATATTTATACTTACAAAATAAACTCCAATAGAAACATATGTTGTTTATAACTCACCTGAAACAAAAAGATAATACATTAGAATTATTATAAAAAAATTAAAAATAATATGAATATTGAAAACTTTTGACGCATTTTAGGTGAATTTTCTATTCAGATCTACAGCGAATATCAGTTATATTACTTATTATCAATATCTTAAACATCTGCAGAAAAAATTAAATATAAAACTCACATGATACAAGTTACGTTTAAAAAGTCGCTCTTTCGTTCAATAAGAATATGTATATTAATAAGTGAAAAATTCACTTACTATGTTTATTTTATATAACTTAATTTTCACTTATTTAGAATGGAAATTTATTTTTTATTAATAAGTGATGCGACTCATATCAAGTGAATACATACTCGTTCCAAAAATACTTAGGTATAAGTAAAGTGAGTTTTATGATAAGAGAAGAGTGGCAAAAAATTTTAATCATTAGTTTCGTTTAAAATGATTTTGCTATTGCTATAATAAAAGTTTACATCCCCAGTAATAAGCGACAATTTTTTTTTTTTACTTTCCTTCGCAATTCTTGATTTAAAGAAATGACGATTTGTCAAACATCATTATATAGATCACGAGATAGAATCTTGTCAGAATGGAAAAACAAGTTTTTATACACATATTGCATCTCTCATCAATGTCGCGTGTCTAATAAATCTCTATTTCTTCCTTTTTGAATTCTTTCTTAAGAAATAATTAATTAACAATAAATATTTTTACTTTATATTTTTAAAAGAAAAAAAGAAAAATAAATTAATACACGTACTTTATCATATCAAAAAGTGTAAAAAGACTTAAATGTTGAGGGAAAAATTTATTTTGACTATAAATGGACTATATGGAAAGAGACAAACTTGTGGGGAAAATGAAAATCTTGTCGCTGTCGAGTTCGTAAAGTGTCATTATGGACAAGAATTCTATTGTACAGGTAATAATAGTATTGTGTACATTTATACGATACATTTTAAAGCCAGACAGTATTTCTGTACAACCTTACACTAATTTTATTGTTAACGGTGAGGACTTGACAATACTCTTTTATTCAACATTTTTCTTCTAATCCGAAAACTATCGAGAATTTTAAACTTATACAAGTTTAGGGAGGATTTAGTTTTATGAGGTTGAAACTCTATTGTTTTGTTTCTCATTAAACCCTATAGTACATACTCGATATTTTCCACTATTATTATTATTCTAAATATAATAATTTTTAGTTTACATTTAGTAAGTTCTATTTTCTTATAATTATAATTATTTTTACTAATTAATAATACCTAAATAATTTTTAATTAATAATTAATTAAATAATAATTACTTATCATTTAATTAATAACTGATTAAATTACAATTAAGTAGTAATTAATTATTAATAATAATTATTGTTATTTTATTAATAATTTGTTCATTCATTTCAAATAATATGAGGTATTAAAAATAAAGTACAACTTAGTTACAATAGTAGTAGATAATGTTAAATAATGACTAATAATAGTTCCTAATATCAAAATATAATTGACAATAATGAATGATAATATATTTAATAAACAATAATTGTTTTAATGATGCAATTTTTTCATTTCGTTTAGTAAATTAAAGTATAAAAATAAATTTATTTTGTATTAACAATCTTTAAAGTAAATATTGAATATTCAATTATTTAATATTTATTTAGTTAAAATAAGGTGAAAAATAATAATATTAACACTATAATAATACTTTATTTTATTATTATTATTATTATTAAAATAAATTTTATTACACAGGTAGAAATTTCTTCCTTTTTTCTTCATATGAACTAAAATCATTATGATTTTCTTGCGCAACTATAAATAAAGGTAATTTCGATTGAAACAATTCTCGAAGCAATTACGTGATTCAAAGTTTAGTTTCAGGTCAC